CATTCACAGGATGAAGTTGTTAGGCTGACACAAGATAGAAAACATTTTCATTTTGGAAATGTAGTTGCAGTACTTCCTCACTCGACAAGGAAATGTCACAGAGATATGTCAAACACTCCTTTCCCTGTGAAATGCCAAAGATCTTATCCTATCATTAAATCTATTAAAACTTGAATATTCAAAATTTCTAATAATTTTGGGTAGCTGATTTTTCGGAAGTGCTGTAATAGGTATGTGAGTCTGCAGTCAGTGTTTAAAGTGTTGCTCATCTTAGTACATCCATGGTAGAAAGCTTTGCTTGAAGTATCTTAATAGAGATAGATTATAGGATTCAGTTGTGAGACTTATTTAAATGTTTAGAGCCTCTGAACTCTACAAAGTGCCTGTTAGATAGTTAACAATACTAACAAAACCAGCAAAACTCGTTTCCAAGACTCACTTGAAGCAAAGGCCTTTATGAAATGACTCTAGAGTAAGTTACAATGGTAGCCTTAAAATAAAGGGGGAACATTGAGAACACCCTGATCAGCCATAATAGGAGTTTAAAATGTCCTCTCACGGATGGCAAGGTGGACGTTGGAGAATCTCATTCTGTTTAATTTCTAGTTTCTTCATGTTAGTGTTCTTACTGTGAATGGTGCTCTCCTAAGAGAGATGGTGTCAAAATATCTTCTCTCATACAGCACAAAAACCTTGTTCATTTTGGGTGACTTGTAGCTGAGAAAAAATTAAAAATGCTGTTCAACTCCACATACCAAAACAACATTATTATCATTGAGATAATCTGTATTATGCTCGTTCTTTGAGGAAGACAGATGCAGAAAAATTTAGCTGCAAAAATATTTATGTGATGATTTGTCACAGTGTTGACACCTAAATTTCCATATATAAATTATACATTAAACTTGTTCAGCTTCCTACTACAGGAGACCATTTTCTGGGTAATTAATTTTTTGATTTATAAAGAAGAGAAAAGAGAGCAGCAGGGTAACCTATAGATTATGTTTGCTCTGACAAAAGTATTCACAAATACACATTGAGTTAAATTTCTCAATAGCCCGTTTCCATTTTACCTTCTTAAATTGCCAATTTAAGGAATTGCTTAGGTTTGACTTTTACCCACTGTTAGAAACTTTCTGCTTCGTTCACAACTGTACTAAAGAACTGACCTTACTGATTTTTTTTTTGTAGAGGGAACTATTGGAATTAGATCTGCAAGGCAGGTATTTCGTTCCACTGAAAACTTATTTTGACTTCCATGACCTCATGTGGGCCATACTTAAAAAAGATAACTTCCATCTTTCAGGCATGCCGGTCATTGACTATACAGATACTTGTAACTGATTTTTGCTGTACAGTTCCATAATATGATGGTAAATGGTCTCATAGTAGAGCTAATTCCGTGTTAAAAAAGTGAAAAATGTCAACCAGTAATTATGGATGTAAACCAGGAATTACTGTGCAATATTTTTACCTATATGACTCAAAGGGTCAGAGTAGATGACTGTAATAATCCTTTCTTATCTTAAAATATGTGATTTGCACACCCCACGCCTCCCCCAAAACACATTTGGCCATCAGCATTTTTTGGACCTTGAAGCTGCTTAGTTTTCAGGTTCCATTGATGTATAAGCAAATCTCCAAACATTCTCCCCCTGCTACACAGCGTAGAATATGGAGTATTTTTATTCCTGTTTAAAATTAGTGGCTACTGGGAAATCTAGAGCTACCGCAATTACATGTTCTTTATTCCTTTGAAACCGAGGGATTTAAGCAGTTTCGTATGCAACATTTTGTTTTTGACACTCTGCTGCATGACACAGGTTTTATGTTTGTGCTATTTTGTTAAAGCCGAGAGTTACCCTGGCTTTATAGAGATCTTTGTAGCCTGACATATAGTAGAAAACAGAGGTGAGACTTCAGTGTTTCTAATGTTGTGTCGAGTTTCTGAAATTTTCTAGCTGACAGAAAAACATGTGTGTTTTTTGTGAGTACGATGTAACATTTGTATAAAATAATTTTTTACTAATTTAATTGGAATTATCTTTATAGGACTACCTTTCAAATCCTTCTGTTTCCTCATAGTTTGAATAGCTACATATGAAAACTTTGCCCCACCTATTTGGGATGGGATAGGATGAGACAGAACAAAAGGAATTAATGACAATGGGCACTTCTCTAATTAAAAATACTCCAAAAAGTACTTGGGCTTGATCTGGAGTCCTATACTCCAATTGGTACAATTCTCCATCACTTCAAGAGCTTACCTGCAATGTACATGTGAACCCAGCAGCATAGCAAAAGGGATGGATTTTTCAAAACAGAGCAGTGACTGTGAATCCAATTTTTCCACAGTGACCTGAGGGTGAAGTGTTCTTGTGCAAGGTTTAGATGTGTTGTCTTACAGAAACCATATGTGCAGTGTTAGAGAGGAAAGAAGTGGCATATGCAGGTCAGGTTGGCCTTGTGCTAGAGTTAAAATAATCAGCAGGTTTAGGGAATGCTCATTAGTGTGATCATTTTTTAATTGTTTGGAAACTAACTAGTAAAGGCCCAAAATCTACAGTGATTATTATAGAAGCGCCACTGAACAGAAATTGTCCCTAAATGTCCTATTCAATACTATGAAATTTGCTTCTTAGAAAACAAAACCAAGTCCAAACTGTGAAATAGGATGTGAGTTGTTGAGAGTGTTTAGCAAGCCAAATAGTGTAACAGTTTATGTGTAATTAGTCTTATTCTTCATTTCTAAAGAAAATAATATTAGTCACCTTCAGTAAATGCTAAATTGTGCCTGCTTCTCTATTTGAATTGTTTGGTTTCATGTATCTTGAGGAAAGGTTAAAATTGAAACTTGTATCAGAATGATTCAATGTTAAAGAAATTATTTCACTTTGGGGGTGAATGAAATGTTTTTAGATTATTCAACAGTCTTGATTTTCTTCCCTATTTAAAAACACAGATCGATGTCTTCAGGGAGCAATATATAAACATCACTTCAGAATGAAATATTTCCTTTAGAAGACACTGAATAAACTGTTCCCATGTTTTTGCTGTTTGTACCTTGCCTAAAAATGAGTAGCATTTGAGCATTGTTTGGGTCCTCCCAAACTGCAGCCTTTAGTGAACTTAATCAAGGTTAAAAAAAAAAAAAAGTATTTTGTAGCTTTAATTAAATTGTGATTGCTGCATTGTACTGAAATAGCTTCACAAGTGAGTTGAATTCTTAGAGGTCTGTCTCTGGTTCATTTACAAATTACTCCTTGGGCGGATCTTTCAGGAACATATTTTCTTTGTAATAAAACAGGTTGCCTTTTCTTATTGTGCTAAAATCACTAAGAGAGGTCTCCTCAAAATTTCAAGATCCCTTTGGGATTTGCTGAGAGTTGACTGACAGGCAGCTTTGCAATTTGCAAAGAAAAATATTTATTTGATTAGGCAGGAGCCCTTTAACCACTATAGCTGAGTTGGGAGTAAGTGAAGGACCCTGCCAATTTGGATTTTGACTCTGATGCAGTATCCAAAGCTGTCAGCATACCCAAAATGAGATCTCAAAAACTATTGAGCATTAGGTAGCTGAAGGACGGCCATGTGGGAGTGAAGACAATGCTGGTCTGCTGCTGCTTATTCTGACACTTATTTGTTGTGAACTGCAGCTCATGATGTTCAGACAGGAGCTATTTGTAAACACCCTTATTTACCTGTCCTTAACAAGAGTAGCTGGGAGAAAATTAGGTAGGCTTATCACAGCGTGGCTAGAAAATAATTTCTTTGTCTAAATGGCATTTGGGTTAGAAAATCATTAGAGAATAGATGAAACTATTTGGAAGCAAGTATTTCAGATATCACAAGTGGATGGTTGGAGAATATGTCAGTGTCACACGTGAAGGCCAGTGAGTGGGTATGTGTTTCAGTGTGTGCATGAAGGGTGAGTGGGTGTACATGCAGGAACTTTTTTTCCATGTTTTTGAACTCAAAGATGAGTTCCTCATTTATACTAAGACCTCTACACACCCTGGTAATGCTTAGCTAAGGTTTTATCTCCTACAGAGACGTACTTGTGGTGGTGTTCATTGTATCTTTCCCTGTATCATTGGATATGGA